CTGAGGGAGTGACAATCTCAGATCCACCCAGGGAGCTTCCATGGAAGAATGTGGATTTGAACCTGGGTCTACTGGATCCTAGTTCTACACACTAACTGCTACACTACACTGGGTGTTAGTCATGTACAAACTCTATTTCTGTGAGACCAAATCACTCCACACGTATTAAGGATTAGAGTTTTTTAAAAGTTCACCATAAATACAGAAGTTTTGAAGCTACAATGGGGGGGGGAATCCTGTATTTCAACCATTACACAGGCAATTTTATTTGTATTTATAGAGAAAACAGACAAAGATACTATTGTAGGCAGGGGACCATTCAGTCCCTGTCAGCTTGCATTTAATTCCATGCAGATTTTAAACAAATTGGATTTAAGAGAAGTCCGGTTAGGCCCGCTTCTCTAAATCCATATTGCTTGGAATATTGTTCCAAGATGGCACCCTTCTGATTTCCCCAGATTCCATAGGACTCGTGGGATATTCCTCAGAGTGTGAAAAGACACATTTAATTTTTCTTGTCATCAGTTTGATGTATTCCATATTTTTCTTTCAAAGGACTCAGCTGTGGGATTCTGCTTTCTTGTATGACTACTCAGGGACAGTTAGAGAAGATGAACGGGGGAAACCCTCCTTCAGGGCCCCCAGTGTCCTTCGAGGAGGTGGCCGTGTTCTTCATGGAGGAGGAATGGGCTCTGCTGGATCCGGCCCAGAGAGCTCTGTACTGGGAAGTCATGCAGGAGAATTACGAGACGGTGGCCTCTCTGGGTAAGGATCTTTCCCCTTGTGTCCCAAATACAGAAAAGAAGGGAAGATGGAGCATCTGTAATGAATCCCAAACTGTCATCGGGGGGAGATGTAGTCAGCTGGGTTGTGAGGATTGAGAGTTACTTGGAGAGCCAGTTTGGTGTAGTGGTTAAGTGCACGGACTCTAATCTGGGAGAACCGGGTTTGATTCCCCACTCCTCCACTTGCACCTGCTGATGTGACCTTGGGTCAGTCACAAGCTCTGGCACAGCTGTCCTTGAAAAAGAGCCGTTTGTGTCAGAGTTCTCTCAGCCTCACCCACCTCACAGGGTGTCTGTTGTGGGGAGGGGAAGGGAGAGGAGTTTGTAAGCCGCTCTGAGACTCCAAGTGAAGGGCGGGGTATAAATCCAATCTCTTCTCTTCTTCTCTTCTGTTTACATCAAGCTGGAAGCAAAGATCTCATAGGCAGTTTGAATACCACCCCCGGTCCTCCAAAGCATAGGTTTATTCTCCACACCATAAATATTCTTGGAAGGACTAATTCCCTTCATGTGGTGTTTTTTTTCTGTCCCCCTTGAAGGACTTTGGGTTCCTGGACCATTCCTTGATTTGCAGGATCATCAAAGAGAAACGGGGTTCCTCCAGAGCTCTGAGGGATCGGGAGGGTGTGCCGGTTCCCCCTCGTCAGGTAAGGACAAAGCAGCTCATGGTGTCAGGTACAGGGGAGATACCAATATGGTAAAAGGAGTGTCCCAGTTCATTCTGCAGGATTTTTTCTTTGGGCGCTCCATGTATTCCCTTTTCGTCTAATCCACGGAAAAGGGGTCCTGTTGCCACCCTGACCTGGGTAGCCCAGGCAAGCCCGATCTCATCAGATCTTGGACGCTGAGCAGGGCCGACTCTGGCAGGTACATGGATGGGAGACCTCCTCGGAATACCAGCAGTCGGGAGGCAGGGGCAGGCTTTGCTCAGCCACCTCTCTGAATATCCTCCAGACCCCCAGTAGGGGTCAGTCACCAGAGGCCGCCATGACTTCCAGGTGTACGCACATTCACACATACCCCCCTTCCAAAAAAAAAAACCCTGCGAAAAAAGAAAAGGTGTCCTGTTCCCATAGTGGTGTTTCTCGTGGGTGCATTCCCCGGAAGAGTAGCCCAAGTCCAGGGCCAAAACAGATGTGGCAGCAAACAGGCAGCTGCTTCAGGGAACAGCACCCCGGATGGGTTCCTTCCTCCTCCACTTCTCTGATGATCTCAGCCAATTTTGTTTCACCCAGGATGGATCTCTCCTGCTGTGGGTTTTCCTCCTCCGAGGTGAGGTTGCCAGCACCGTGCCATTCTGATAACTTGATCTCTTATTGGCTTAACTGTTAAGCTCTTTGGTTAATACATTACGTCTTTTTGAACACTCTGCCAGGGTCCTTCACACCTCGTATTCAGCCATAGTGCAGGCCAGGCCTGATGGAATTAGGAGGGAGGTGTCCTAGGTGGCAGGGAGGATGCTCTGGGCCCTGCCCAGTCAAGCCCCACAACCAGAGTGGTGGCAGCCAGCCAGGGATTTTTCCCCCCGGGGGGGGGGGGGAGGCTACTTGGAAGGGATTCCCAGTTCACAGTAAAACCCTGCAAGGCTGCACCCCCTCTCATGAAATCCTGCAAAGGGAGATTTAGGTTAGGGGCAGTGTTCCCTCTAAGCCGAATTAGTGTGAGCTAGCTCACAGTATTTTAGCCTCCGGCTCACATATTTTTGTCTTAGCTCAGGGAGGACGGCTCTGGAGTAAACGAATTCATGCAGTAGCCAAATCGCTCGCTCACAGCTTTAATGCTGGTAGCTCACCAAGTAGACTTTTTGCTTACAAGACTCCAGGGCTTAAAGGGAACATTGGTTGGGGGGGGAGTTCCCCAAGCCTTTTTCACCCCACCCTCATTCCTCCTGTTTCCCAGTGGATCCCACCTTGTTACTACAGGAGTAAAACGGCCAGATGTATGACATGGAATTACATAAGAACGTAAGAGAACATAAGAGAAGCCAATGTTGGATCAGGCCAATGGCTCGTGCCTCTGGCAAGGGGCTGCCTTAAATAGAAGCTTCCCCCCAGCAGAGGGTGTGGGCAGCAACTATTCAAATTCAGCCAGTCAAACAATGATCCTTTCACACCCTATCTCAAGCAGCCAGGACTCTGCAACAACTCACAACTCACCCACACAATCCCTAATGCAGTACCCGTTCAGCTAAATCACCTCAGCTGAAAGTAAATAAAAAACACTCACCCCTCTAGCAGCTCTATCTCCTGCTCCATCTCAGAACTCAGCTGGGTCAGCCATGTTGGATCAGGCCAGTGGCCCATCTAGTCCAACCCTATGTCATGCAATGGCCAAAACTCAGGTGTTATCAGGAGGTCCACCCACCAGCAGGGCCAGAATTCCAAAAGCCCTCCCATTCCCCCCCCCCCCCCAGCATCAAGAATACAGAGCATCACTGCACCAGATGGTTTGGTCTATTGATCTCGGGGAGGGGGTAGAGGTCATCTTTGAAAATAGTCTGGAAACTTGGTTCTAAGTGCAGGCTACTATCAGGATCAGGATAAAGGGATGGTAACACTGGTGCTGAAAGAGCCCTGCTGAGTGCCTTTTCTGGGCACAATGGAAAGGTCAGGTTCTTACCAATAAGGCTTAAATGGCTTGGGGCCAGGTTACCTGGGGGAAAAACCTCCCCTTCTGTCCAGCCCACCAGGTAAGATCTTCCTCACAAGCTCTGTCTTGCTTTCAGAGGTGGGGTGGGTGATGGCCACAGACAGGGCTTTTTCAGGGGTGCCATTTTGCCCTTGGAATGTCCTTCTCCTTGTGGTTCACTTGGGGTGTATACTACTTTAAGCGCTGGGCAAAAATGTTTCTTTTTAACCAGGCTTTTAATTAAAAGGAGGGGGAGTAAAGCCAGAGGAATCTTTAATATCCATTTTAGAAGAAGAAGAGATTGGATTTATACCCCGCCCTTTACTACCCAAAGGAGGCTCGGAGCGGCTTACAAACCCCTTTCCCTTCCCCTCCCCACAACAGACACCCTGTGAGATTGGTGGGGCTGAGAGAGCTCTTGGCAAAAACTGCTCTTTTTTTTTTTCAAGAAAGGCTGTGCCAGAACTATGACTTGCCCAAGGTCATCCAGCAGGTGCAAGTGGAGGAGTGGGGAATCAAACCCGGTTCTCCCTAACCACTACACCAAACTCGCTGCTTTAAGCTGTTTCATCTTTTGTTGTTTGATGCTCGGGGGCAGGGGAATGTTTTCGAGAGCTGGGCTTTAAGAACTTCTCTGCCTTTGTTACATTTCATTTTGTAAGCTGCCTAGAAGAGGTTCCCTACAAAGGCAGCATAGAAATCTTTCACATGAACGAGTACATTTTGAAAATGAGGGGATTTTTGAATATGGAGGAGCTCCTATACTGCCAGAAGACGGCTGCCTTTTCTTTCAGGGTCCCAAAGGGGGCACAAACTAGGGGCACAAGGATGCCAGGGATGTGATGCCATGGAGTGCTTGGAGCAAGAATTCTGTCCGGTGGCTACTGGATTGCAGAGAAGCAGTTCCTCTTTGGTCTAGTCTCCTGGTCCCTCTGTCCCCCCCCCCCCTCCTCTCCCTGTCCTTTTTCCTTCCGTGTAGTCAGAGATTACAGAGGCTTTTCCAGGCCTCCAGTTCTTGTTTAGGAAAGTACTGTTTGGCAATGACAGGCTGTCCTAAGTGGTCTTTCCTTCCTGGAGCTCTTATTGGATTTCTCTCTCTCTCTGTTCTAGCAGGAGACGCACCAGGGCCTGAGAAACGGGGGCAACCGGGAGCAGTGTCTGCAGAAAGAGACGAGGATCTGGAGGTGGAACCTTGGAATCAGAATGGACCTCAGAGGCCACCAAAAAGAAAAAGGGAAGGAAAACAGAAGTGGATGGAGGAATTGGTTGCTTGTCAGGGCAAAAACTCGTGTGACATTCCAGCCCAAAGGAAAATACAAAAACGAAATTGCCTTGTGAATGGAGAAAGGTTCAGCTACGTATCCAGTGTTACGAAAGACCAGAAGACCCAAACAGGCATGAAAATATATGGTTGCTTGGAGTGTGGAAAGAGCTTCTTTTCAAATAGCTGCCTAACAATTCATCAAAGAATTCACAAAGGGGAGAAGCCATATAAATGCTCAGAGTGTGGGAAGAGCTTCACTCGGAAGGTCAGCTTTATTTTACATCAGAGGATTCATGCAGGGGAGAAGCCATATGAATGCTCAGAGTGTGGAAAGAGCTTCTCTGACAGTGGCAGCCTCACTAAACATCAAAGGATTCACACAGGGGTGAAGCCATATAAATGCTTGGAATGTGGGAAGAGTTTCAGTCAGAGCTCAGGCCTTACATCACATTTCCTGCTTCACACAAGTGAGAAACCATATCAATGTTCAGAATGTGAGAAGAGCTTCAGACGGAGATACCACCTTATCTCACATCAACGTATTCATACTGGGGAGAAGCCATATGAATGCTCAGATTGTAGCAAGAGCTTTTCTCATAAATCAGGCCTTAAGCAACATAAGAGGAAGCACACAGGAGAGAAGCCTTATAAATGCTTGGAGTGTGGAAAGAGCTTCTCTTGGAATAGCCAGCTAACTTTCCATCAACAAATTCACACAGGAGAGAAGCTAAATAAATACTTGGAGTGTGGAAAGAAGTTCAGTCAAAGCCTTACATCACATCTCCTGCTTCAAAAAAGTGAGAAACCCCATCAGTGTTTAGAATGTGAGAAGAGCTTCAGACGGAGAGACCACCTTACTTCACATCAACGGATTCACACTGGGGAGAAGCCATATGAATGCTCAGATTGTAGCAAGAGATTTTCTCATAAATCAGGCCTTAAGCAACATAAGAGGAAGCACACAGGAGAGAAGCCATATCAATGCTCTGAGTGTGGGAAGAGTTTCCCTTATAATATCCAACTAGTTCTACATCAGAGGACTCACACTGGGGAGAAGCCATATACATGCTTGGAATGTGGGAAGAGCTTCACTCACAGCTCAAGCCTTACATCACACCTCCTGCTTCACACAAATGAGAAACCATATCAGTGTTCGGAATGTGAGAAGAGCTTCAGACGGAAATACCACCTCACCTCACATCAACGTATTCACACTAGGGAGAAGCCGTACAAATGCTCAGATTGTAGTAAGAGATTTTCTCATAAATCAGGCCTTAACCAACATAAGAGGAAGCACACAGGAGAGAAGCCATATCAATGCTTGCAGTGTGGAATGAGCTTCTCTTGGAATAGCCAGCTAATTGTTCACCAAGAAATTCATGCAGGTGAGAAGCCAAATACATTCTTGGAGTTTGGGAAGAGCTTCTCTCATAATGTCCACTTCACGGTCCATCAGAGGACTCACGCAGGGGAGAAGCCGTACAAATGCTCAGAGTGTGGGAAGAGCTTCAGTCACAACGACAGCCTTACTTTACATCAGAGGAGTCACATAGGGGAGAAACCATATAAATGCTTGGAATGTGGGAAGAGTTTCAATCAGAGATCAAGCCTTACGTCACATCTCCTGCTTCACACAAATGAGAAACCATATCAGTGTTTGGAATGTGAGAAGAGCTTCAGACGGAGAGACCACCTTAAGTCACATCAACGTGTTCACACTGGGGAGAAACCATACAAATGTTCAGCTTGCAGTAAGAGCTTTGCTCATAAATCAGGTCTTAATCACCATAAGAGGCAGCATGCTGGAGAGAAGCCATATAAATGCTTGCAGTGTGGAATGAGCTTCTCTTGGAATAGCCAGCTAATTGTTCACCAAGAAATTCATGCAGGTGAGAAGCCAAATACATTCTTGGAGTTTGGGAAGAGCTTCTCTCATAATGTCCACTTCACGGTCCATCAGAGGACTCACGCATTGGAGAAGCCGTACAAATGCTTAGAGTGTGGGAAGAGCTTCAGTCAGAACGACAGCCTTACTTTACATCAGAGGAGTCACATAGGGAAGAAACCATATAAATGCTTGGAATGTGAGAAGAGCTTCACTCAAAGGTCAAGCCTTATGTCACATCTCCTGCTTCACACAAGTGAGAAACCATATCAGTGTTTGGAATGTAAGAAGAGCTTCAGACGGAGAGACCACCTTAAGTCACATCAACGTGTTCACACTGGGGAGAAGCCATACAAATGCTCAGATTGCAGTAAGAGCTTTGCTCATAAAGCAGGTCTTAATTATCATAAGATGAAGCATGCTGGAGAGAAGCCATATGAATGCTTGGGAGAGTGGAAAGAGCTTCAAATGGAGAGGGAGCCTATCTCCACATCAGTTTATTCACACTGGGCGGGAGCCATATAAATGCTCAGATTGTAACAAGCTTTTCTTATAAATCAAAGCTTAATTGGCATAAGAAGACTCATACAGGGGAGAAACCATGAAAGTGTTTGGAGTGTGGAAAATGTTTCAGTCCTAGCACAAGGTTTACTTGGCCCTGGAGGATTCACCGTACTGGAGAAACTTCTCATTGAAGTGTTCACACAGCAGAAAAGCAGTCTAAATGCTGAGGTTGAAGTAGGGCTTTTCTCACAAGCCTGGTGTTACTATACTTAAAAGGATTCATGCAAGGAAATTACATAAATGCCTGTTGGTGAATTACCGCATAAAATGGGACAGTTTTCTAGCTGTCTTTCATGCTTAAATAAGTTACAGGAGTTATCTGATATTAAATGTTGCCTTTAATGCGTTGCTGTTTTGATATTCGCCCCCTTAGGGACTCCATTTGTGTGGAAAGGCAGCATAGAAATGTTATAAATAAAGAGTTGAGCAGGGAGCAGATTTTTCTGTGCACAGCCAGGAAATCCCTCAGATCTCCAAACTGCCTCTTTAACTGGCAAGATGTTGAAGTTATTAAATTAGAAAGTGTTGTATGTTTTTGAGAGGATGTGTCTTACTTAATAATAAACAGTCAGTGAATCTCATAGTAAGGTAGGATCTCTTCTAGATCCATATTGGATATGCACTTGAGCTCCTCTGTTCCATGAAGCCTTATTTTATAATGTAAAAGACTAATAATCATCCTTCCACGTAAGACCCCACTCCCCATGTTTCTATGTGAGTCAGACAACTGAGAATTCCCACCGCCTTAGAAGTGGTCAGGCATAGTGCAGTGGGACACACAGAGAGACAATATTTTGCATCTCACGGTGGCTTAGTCTCCTCCTGCATCAAGGATGATTTGATCAAACATGGTCTGAGACATAGTGATCATTTACTGAATCTAGCAGAGGCTGATGGGAAGGAAGAAGGCAAGCCAGTGCACTGACATGCAGAGAGACAGCAGGCAGACTCCTACGCTTGAATGGGTGTTTTAGGCTCCCAAACATTTTTATTTGATTTCCATATTGGTTATAGCACACTCAGAGACCTTTCAAGGCCTATGCGTTGGGAATTACCAAACAAGGGACTGGGAACCAGGACTGGAATTATAACTACCCATTTCTAACAAGTGTTCCTCACTAAAATGAAAAGGCTGTCCTTCAGAGGAAACATCCTTAGGATCCTGTTGCAGGCCTTGTCTTCAAGCCTCTCACTCCCAACTAGTTTTCCCATTGGTAAGATGTTAATGTCGCTCCTTTTTCACCCCACTGGGCCACACTTTGCAACACAGAGACTCAATAGTTTACCTGAAGTGGGTTGGACCAGTGTATTGAAGCACAACATAGACAGTATAAATGAGGGGTGTCAAACTTACGGCCCATGGGCCAGAACCGGCCCACTCAGGCCTTTAATCTGACCCAGGAGTGGGGCTCTGTTCTCTCCTCCCCTTCCCTGCCCAACCTTGCTGTTCTCAGCTTGAGTTCTCTCGAAGTATAGGGTGGGGCTGCCTCTGAGAGCAGGAAGCAGAGGATGGGGCTGCCAAACTTCCCGGCCATCACTCCCAACTTTCATAGTCCTCACAGGTAGGAGCGGGGGGGGGTGTCTTTCTGCTGTGATCTTTGTGCTTTTTTATTTTAAAACTTGCTTTGCAAAATCCCACTGTCCCCCCACCTTTCCAATTTAGGTAGGCACGTTTTAAGGGCAAGGGGAGGGAAGGTTTGGGGCCAGGCAGGGTTAAAATATAGTGTTTTGCAAACTCAAGGGACTCCTGTTTTGCAGAGAAATATTAGTTTTAACACACACGCCCTCCTAATGTGGAGCTCCAGGGGAATAATAGCAGAACAAGTGCTGAAGAGGACACCTAAAGTTATTATCTCAAACCACTCTAAAAAAAACTGAGATCCACTGCCATTCTGAGTAGACCGGGGGGGGGAGGTTTGGGACCAACCACAGTTAAAATATAGAGTTCAACAAACTCAAGAAACTTCAGTTTTGCACAGAAATGTTCGTTTTAACACACACACCCTCCTAATGAGGGGATCCAATGGAATAGCTGCTATAATATCTTTAAATGTGTTTTGTGTCCTTTATAAAGTTTATATTTCTGCTACCTGGTGTTTTATAACATACATGGTCCGGCCTACGAAGTCCCATTTATCTCACATCCGGCCCTCATAACAAATGAGTTCAATACCCCTGGTATAAATGAAACATCAAACTACATTCAGTCTGCAAAGCAATGGAGGATGTATACTGCCTTGGTCAGGCCGCACCTTGAGTACTCTGCGCAGTTCTGGAGGCCTCACCTCAAAAAGGATGTGGACAAAATCAAGAGGGTGCAGAAGAGAGCGACGAGGATGATCCCTAGGAGGAAAGGCTAAGGGCCTTGGGAATGTTTAGTTTGGAGAAGAGGAGATTGAGGGGGGACATGATTGCTCTCTTTAAATATCTGAAAGGCTGTCATTTGGAGGAAGGCAAGGAGCTGTTCCAGTTGGCAGAAGAGGACAGGACCTGAAGCAACGGGTTTCAGTTACATGCAGATAGGTATCGGCTGGATATTAGGAAAAACCTTTTCATGGTCAGAGTAGTTCAAAGTTGGAATCAGCTGCCTAGGGAGGTGGTGAGCTCCCCTTCACTGACCGCTTTCAAGAAGTGGCTGGACGAATGTCAGAGATGCTTTAGGCTGGTCCTGCATTGGACAGGGGGTTGTATGGCCCCTTCCAACTCTATGATTCTTCCTCCTCCTCCTTCACCGTTCAGGGGCTTTTCAATACACAGTGTTGCTTTCTCCTGCGAATGTTCCCAATGAGCATAAATCCTCAAGAAGATCTCTGAAGTGGAAACCAGTCTGAAGGTTTCTTTTGTGACGGAGGGAGCCAACTCCACTCTCCCTGCTTGTGCTGCCTACACCTTCCTGGCTTCTCAGGAGTAAGCCATCACTTCCATTGCAAAATATTAGAGGGATTTTCTGTTGTTAATCTGGGCCAGGACACAAGCCGGTGGTCAATTTTGAGGTTCCTATCTTTCAGTTTATTGTAGAGAGATAATTCCCACACACACAATGTAGTAATTTTTCTGCTCTTTGCCCCCGCCTGAAATGCAGAATCTGTTGCGATGACGCAGTAGGTTGCTTGCAGTTCAAGGTCTGGAAGGCAGCAGGTTTGTGCTGGGTGTTCTGCCCTCCATGTCTCACTTGTGAAGCCATTAGTGTCATACGCCCTGCCATGAGGAGGCCTTGATTTTGTTAAGAAAAAAATTGAACGAAAAAGTTGGTGAGCTTAATTAGGCCACTTTGCAGAGCTGGATGGAAGCTTTTGAGTAACACAGCATGCCTCTGCAGAAAAACAAAGCATGAGTCTGGTGGCACCTTTAAGAAACAACAAAGTTTAATTCCGGGTATAAGCTTTCACGTGAATGATTAAGTGAGCATGAATACGAAAGCTTCTACCCAGAATTAAACTTTGTTGGTCTTAAAGGTGCCCCTGGACTCAAACTTTGTTCTGTTGCTTCAGACCAACATGGCTACCCCACCTGAATCTATCTGCAGAAAAAAATGTTTAAAGCAGAAGCCTGGAATCACAATGTTCATGTATTTCTGGGGTTAAACATGCAAGAGCAGGGCTATTTTTGGGCAGGAACGCACAGGAACGGAGTTCCGGCTGGCTCCTGAGTTGGCCACGCCCAGCAGGAACTCATTAGCATAACAGGCCACACCCAACAGCAGAAACTCATTAGGATTGGCTACATTAGGGGTGTGTGGCCTAACATGCAAAGGAGTTCCTGCTACAAAAAAAACCCCTGGGTTTTGACAACAAACAAGGTAAACAGAATAAGAAGCAAAAGGTGGGTGTGGCTGGATGACCACACGTCTGGTAACATGGGGGTGTGGCCTAATGTGCTAATGAGCTGTACTATCAGGGGTGTGGCCTCATATGCTAATGATTTTCTGCTGTTGGGTATGGCTTATTATGGTAATGAGTCCCTGCTGCGCTTTTTATACAAAAAAAGCCCTGCAAGATAGTATAATAGACAGACAGTGGCATATATTCAATTCGGGTTGTTTTGTTTTTTCCATCTAATTGGAATTGACTAAGTGAAGCCCAGTTTTGTGCAATATTCTGGATTATTATTTCTTGGAGATATTCAGTATATTATAAATGTCAGAGGCGGGGGGGGAAGCAAATGCAACTTTTTGTGATTCATTTGATGTATTGCAGGCATCCCCAGGATGGTGCCTGTGGGCGCCATGGCACCCGCTGACCGCTTTTTATGGTGCCCACCTGGTGTTTTTAGGAACCAGGTGGGCCTTTTGCCCACCAAGGCTTCTGATTGACTATTGGAGATTTGATGAGCTGTGCAGGTTTTTTTAGATGTTACTTTTGCAGCAGCTGCCACCATGGCACAAGGATCTGCACTGTGTTTCTGAAGTGAAAGTGTGGCAGCCATTTTGTGGCTGACTCCACCGTCTGTGCAAACTACTTTGTGGCAGCCATTTTGTTACTGTGCCAGCCCCGCCTGTCAGTATTCCAAATGTGCCTGCAGGTTGGGGGATCCTGACGTATTGCATTCTTTTAATCAATAGAGTGGGCGATGGGATTCTTCTTTCCTTCTTGAAAGCTCAGGGACAGGAAGAGATGACCCTACATTTTCCTCTTTCAGACATACCCGGTGTCCTTTGAGGAGGTAGCCATGTTCTTCACGGAGGAGGAGTGGGCTCTGCTTGATCCAGGCCAAAGAAAACTCTACTGGGAAGTGATGGAGGAAAATTATGAGGCCGTGACCTCTCTGGGTAAGTCTTTTCTTTCTTTTTTATTATGAACACAGAAGAGAGGGGTGGGTGGCATCTTGCTTTGACTCTTTATGCTTATTCTTCCTTTTTTTTTTCTTGGCCAGGTGATGAGGGGCTTCGCTGAGTTGGGTCTCTCCCACTGTGTGGGTACAATGGATGGCTGCCACATCCAAATCAGGGCACCGGTTCAGCA